CTTTATATAGTATTGCTCTAGATCAGAAGAAAAGTGTTGCGTATGGTTCATTAGATTAAATATCAATTTCTATCAGCAAGACTCATTATATTAGCACGTGTAGTTTATAAAGCTTGGCAAAAATAGAGTATTTTAAATCAGTATTCAATATTATTATCGATCATGATCACATGTAGTTAAAAAGAATCATCCGAAATGTTAACATAATGTTAGGACGAACCATATATCTGCCACATCACTGCTGATAATTTGTGTAGGATTTAGTTGTCTTGCAAATTTAAAAATTTTATATCACGGAAACTAGAGCAGTTAGCACAACAAGCCTCATGCACTATTCTGTTCCTCGTAAAAAATATAACTATAAACAGTCGTCAAATAAAGAAGTCGGATAAATCGTAATCTCTCCTTATTCCTTATAGTCTGGGCGCTCCCGTTGAAATAAGTGGAATGGACCAAACGTATAGAATACATGTACCTAACTAGATATGCTGGATTTGCTCGGATCGCATTTATAACATGTAAGATATTTAATGTGTAGGACATGTCTAAGCGTCGTCTAACAGTAGGTGTCCGCCTCTGATTTTCTTCGTTTTCACATATGTTGTAGTACTCAAAAAACTAAGCGACACGTGTTTTTTTTTATCGGTCCAAATTGGGTTTTTGGGGGTGAAAACCGCCCCCGAAAATGCGGGTACTAAACACCCATTTAATTATTTCACATATAAGAGCGGTATCTTTCACAATGTAACTAACTGGAAAAATTTCCTTACAATGAGAGATCAAAAATGTAATTTTTTCAAATTTGTCCAATATTTTTTATGGGGGTAAATTATCCCAAAATTATTTTTCATTATATAAAAAAATGGCCAAACAGGAGTAAATTTGAGCCAAAAAATTAGGAAAAAATATATGTCGCTCGCGATAATTAAATAAAGTTTACGTGTTTTTGCATTTTTGCGAAAAATTATTTTCTAGGGCGGTAAACATCCTTAAGTACATTTTATTATGTTTCTCTTAAATAAAATAGTTTTTTCGCACAAAACCAACCAGAAAATTTCCTCATAGTGAGACATGAAAAATAAAATTTTGTCAGGTTTGTCAAAAAATTGTTATGGGGGTGAACCACCCCAAAATAGTTTTGGATTATACAAAATCACAGCCGAAGACTCCCAGTGTTTATATGGCTCTTTAAAGTCTACAGTATTTTCTTCTAAAATCTCCACGCCGTTGAAATCATTTAGACTATGCATTAATATTTTTTAGAAATTATCTGCCAGTTGATGCTCTACGTCATTAACTTCAGTATCCGGAATATTCATGGTTTGGAACACAAGTAACACAAGTTTTATTACGGATTCATTGACATGTTTAAAACTAGATAATTGGTTATGTTTCTCTGTAGAAAAGATAAAACTGATGAAATTGAACGTTCTAACTCAACCACGTTTAAAACAACACTGAACGATTTTTTAAGTTCAGTCAGCCTTCTTCCAATAGATAAAAACGCGTGGGTCGACAAAAAGACTTCGTAGTAACTTCTAATTTTATACATAACAAATAATAAGACTCTATAGTGAAAAGATTTGAATTTTTACGATGAAATTTTTTTTTCGTGGACAACATATTTAAGGGTTATCCCCCTAAATATACACCTTTAACGAAAGTAAGCTGACGCTTTGTCAGCTCAATGTCTATAAGCTCTCAAATTACATTTGAAATAAATGCATCCCAACGTAAGGCGTCTTCTAAAAGTGTCAACTTATGTAATGTAAGTTCCTTTATTCTACGGAAACATACCAACAATTACAAAATTACCAAATTACACTTAAGGATGGTGTTACGTAGGCCGTAGTGGCTAGCGAGGCCTTTAAATTTGATAACAAAAATTTAGAAGTAACCAAAAAAAAAGAAACGACCGGAGGTAACGTGAATAATGTTTGAGTGAATTCCGAGCGGTAAGAATGCACTTAATGGTGGGTTCGCAGCACGTTTAAGGTGTTGAAACACGCCTTGCTATTCCAACGTGGGTAGATATTCTCTGAAATGTTGAGGATGGGTAAGAGATATTTAAAAACGCGAGTAAAATGTGAGTTTACCATATATTGTTACAACCAATTTAAAAGTTTTCTATTAATTGTCGTGTACAGTGTTTCTATTATGAGAAATATCGGATAACAAAACCTAACTGTGTGTGAGGTTAAGGCAAGATGAAATTTGGTGGAACAGAAATCTATCAAAACTATGCGATATTCGGAAAGAGTAGTCTATGCAGCTCTATTTTGCCCGGTAACCGATCCAGCTTGTTCCCTAGGGTATGTAATAACGAATCCGTACCTAGGCCAGATTGCGAATACTACACTGAATCTAATACTCTAACGGTTAGAGCCACGAGTGACAACGTGCAGTCCGATCTTTTACGCGTGAAATTGAATGATTTTCTCAGCGTCTGTGCCATGATTTTGGCTGCTTATATAGTCGATTTTTGCTGATACTCTAGGTACGGTTAGGACGTTAGGAATGCACTCAGCTAACCAGCTGGGTAGGTGGCACGGGCAATGCACTGGGTAACATGCTGAGTCTGCAATTATGCTTCTCGTCGGCTACGTTATTCTTCTGTTTAGGAATGAAGGTCGATATACGTAACACCGTTTACTCGAAGTATCTCTTACACCCGTCTTTCGACTCAAATATCTTATGAACGGCTGTATGCGAGTAAAAGTTATTGATACATCCACTATAGGAATCGAGGGTTCTGAATTAATTGCCATCAAAATCAACGAGACTGATGTACGAGATCAGGCCGTATTGAGATAGCGCGCGAGATAATTTTATTTTCGTTCCGTCGTTGTTGTCGTCGGGTTAGCCCCTAGAAAATAATTTTTCGCAAAAATGCAAAAACACGTACACTTTATTTAATTATCGCGAGCAATATATAATTTTCCAAATTTTTAGCTTAAATTTATTCCTGTTCGGCAATTTTTTATATTATATAATGAAAAATAATTTTGGGGTAGTTTACCCCCATACAAATTATTGGACAAATTTGAAAAAATCACATTTTTGATCTCTCGTTGTGAGGAAAATTTTCCAGTTGGTTTCATAGTGAAAGATACCGCTATTATATCTGATATAATTAAATGGGTGTTTAGCACCCCAATTTTTTGGGGTGGTTTTCACCCCCAAAACCCCAATTTGGGCCGATAGAAGCACGTGTCACTTAGTTTTTCGAGTACTAAAACATATGTGAAAACAAAGAAAATCGGAGGCAGACACCTACCAAGGTTTCTTTGTAAGAAATGTAAGATACGTAACGTGTGCAATATGCACGTGTAGGATTTGTGCCTTCACTTTTTTATGTTTGAAGATAAATTTATATTTCATAATATTATTTTATCTATCTAGTACGAATGAGTATAAGACACGAATGTGGAGTTTGGTACATGAGCCGGTAGGCGAGTGCACCAATCACACGAATCTTATACTCATTCGTACTAGCTAGATACAACAGTTTTTGTAACAAATGCTCAAAGAAATCACCGTCTGGCTTTTTTTTTTGTACGCGAAATGGCACTGTTAACTTGCGTCAAATTTATTTTTAATAGTTTTCCCTTCCTTGAAAATATGTTAAATGCCTATGATGTCACTATCATAAATTTTTAGCTAATTTTATAGTCATATAATAATAAAAATAATATTTTAGTTCGAAAAATAATAATATTTAGGGTTTAAAAGATTCTTTTACAAATAAAAAAAGCTGTAAGTTTTCTATAAGTCAACTATTATGCAATGTAAGTGTATTAATTAAATTCAATTCCACTCAATATTTGTAACAATCAAAATACTAATTATAGGCTCTTAATTTCATTAAAATATAATACTGTATGTCATTACGACACAGTTCTATAAGTACTAAAAACGTAAAATAGATAACACATTATATTAAGTGACAGTATCATTATAGCAAGCTGGTATCGATTTTTCCGTATAAGAAACTATATCTACAATAATTATGCTATATAATTTTTCAGTCTATCACAAGAGAATTAAGAACAGAAAAGAAGCAAATTGGATACTTTTTTAATTAGCACATAAACCCTTAGCTGCACTCGTGGTATCTAACAAATATCTGTGCATTTATTTTTACTCAACACCAATTTCATGGCAATAATGAAAATTAAATGTAGTTGACAAAAAATTGAATTTTTTTACTGCGGAAACGTATTTGTAGAAATGTAGAAGTTCATTCAGTAAGCTAAGAATGACCTTGTAGAAAACGTCATTACGAAAAAGGCTGGAAATAATATTGTGAAGTTTAAGTTTAATATTAAGTTGGTTAGAATTCAATTTTGTGACTTAACGTATTTGTCGAATTGCATAGATCATTGGATCTGTGCCAAATGCTTGTCAGCATTGCGTAAAATCTTTATGTAATCGGCAGCGAGTGACCTACATTTTGGTTGCTCATGGCCCCAATGTCATTGACGAAATATATACTTAATTCATAAATTATGTATAATGGGAACTATATACAAAGATTCACCTCATTTAGTTTTCTGTCAATATTTTTCACCATAAAATATTTTTGTATCAAGTATAACACCAAGTTAACCATATGCTTCTAGCATTAGGAAGTTATTACTAGTTGAGAAATTTTTACCATATTAAAATTTGAAAGCATGTTTAGTAATTCCCACAAATACAGCTCGAATTTAGTTTTCACTGCTACTATGCGACAAAAATAACAAATAGCTGGAGCTTCCTCACCATTGGCGTGAGAGAAATTAATCTACGATCTGAAAAAGCACAACCTACAACTTCATTTAACGAAATTATTTGTTCGCCTCCCAGTCTACCTTATTTCATTAATATGCAGTTCTTGCCAAAAAAAAAGATGTTCAATGATTGGTAAGTAAAGTTATGACGTATGGATATAGAGATTACGACATATGCAATAATAAAATACAATTTATACTTCTTTAACATAGAAATCCATTGCTCACCTGAGGAGGTCACACGCGTCATAATTTTTAACAAAATGGATTTAATAGTATCATCATTTTCTTGAGGCTTGAGTGCAAAAGAACAAAGTTTTTCTAATAATGCATCATTTATAACTTCATCCACGCTTTTGTTGCTGGACGACATTACGCTGAAATTAATGAATTTGTGTTTTATAATTGTCAAAAGAAATAATAAACAAGATTACTAAATACTTTATTTATTATTATTTATCACAATATATTATATAATTAATAGATGCAAAACAAGCCAAATTATAGCTGAAAATTAATTTTTTTAATTGACTGTTTTTAATATAGTTAAAGAAATTTTATTTCTACGGAAATATTAATTATATATCTACACAAGCATTTGAGCATATAAGTCATTATAATATTTGCAAATATAATACTTTATAAAGTAAAATGCAAAAAATAAAATAAATTAGGAGAAGTGGCGTGCTTAGGAGAAATTCGAAGTGTACAAATCATCAACGGGATATTATTTGGAACTTGTCTGTAGTAGGCCACTTGGTGAATGACGATATAATTCTAATCTGTTTAAAATCAATTTGTATCAGATGTATTACATCGAAGTTAGAATGAATAATTGTGAATAACACAAACCGAATTTAAAATAGAAAAATATACAGGTGAAAATCAAATATTTTGTTAACTTTATATATTTTTTTTGTATTTGTATAATTATATTCCTATAAAACGTGAGTTTAAAGTTCTAACAAAAACCGCAGGTCTGTAAAAAATCGACAATAGATGAACTATTGTAGCAAAAAATTTGATAGCTGAAAAAATATATATATGCATGCTATATATTAGAGTGTAGCCAATTCTAAGAATTATATTTACTCATCGTCCGTGTACTCATTTCCATCAATAAACTGTATGCATTCCATCGCCTGTTGATTATCTTTATTATTGCTCGTTTTAATCTTAGCGATGTTCATTTATCAGTTGCTTTTGAATGTTGCAATGAAACATTAAAAGTAATTCGTTAAGGAATTAATTATAATGTTTTATGACGATCTTGGCATTTCAAATTTGTATTCAAATACACGTTTATCAGCAGTATCTCAGGAGGAATATTCTAAATATAAACAGGTTTATCCACATTTCGTAAACTTCGTTCAAATGGAATCGCGAAACGTACCTCTGTTCGATACAGCATATGGTATATAAATTATGCAACAAACTTCACCCGTTCCTTCACAATGATTTCCTTTTTTTTTTGCTAAAAACCAGCAAAATGCAATTTTTTAATAAACTTTTATAATTTCAGTTAACTGCGGAGTAGTACGAACCGCACGTCGCGTCACTCGAACACCGTTTGACGTTTCACGCTGCCAAAACTATGTTTAAATCCGAAGTCCACACGCGGCCTCTTTATTTCTGGCACATAATCTTCCCGGAATATGTCGTCTTTTCACAAAGTTTTTATGCGTTCATCGGTCGTGCTCTCAAAATTTCTATATTAGTTCTGTATAGTAGAGATATGTTTTTTCATACATCATCATCAGCGATGCTAATAAAATGGTTTTAAATAAATAATATTAAACATAATATAACAATAAAAGAATATTAAAAAATCATTTGGTTAAGATTTTGTTACGTCCGCGTGAAAAATCAGGTTTCACATCCGCGGTCGATATCTAAATGTCAATGGCCAATCAGGGGGATCTAGTTTCTCACATATGGGTTTCAGGTTTAGGAAAAGCAAAATAAACCTTTCAAGCGGATCCATGTATGAAAGATATACTTAAATAATAGCCCTGACCGTTAGTGATTCTACTCAAGTACATATGTGCATCCATAGCGGACATTCCTGATTTTACGATTTTCTCTCGAAAACGCCACTAAGCTCCTTACTTCTCTCCATAGACACCTTTCATAGCTAATCCTGACCCAGTAAATCCTTCACCTCCATGCAAAGTGAGTAGTATAGCTGGGTCGGTTCTGGATACAGATTCCTGCACCGACATATACTGACACTCGAGAACCTTCGAAGGTGGGTGTCCGTGCTAAGTTGGCAACGTGTGCGCCCACAATTTCTGGAAGTGACGACATCAAGACCCCTCGATTCTAAAAATTTTCATTTGATCCGGGAATTTTGCGTCACATTCCGGGAATTTTGCGCTCGATTCTGGGAATTACACACGATCGAGAACATCCTAGAACATTCTAGAAGCTTCGATGGTTCGTGTCCGTGCTAAATCGCGGAGGATCGCTCCCGGAGCCGACGGTCCTCTCGCGCGACGTTTTGATGCAGCCCCTTGCCCCCCACCTCGTAGACGCTTCAAGAAGCTTCGTTGAACCCCCCCCCCCTCCTCCCCGTGTAAATTTCAGACGGCAGCCTTCAACTGATTTGACCTTGAACGTTATCTCGCAGAATTGCGTGTCGAGGATGCAATAGCAGCATCGATTCCAAGAAATTTGTCGGCTCTCGATTTCGCGCTAGATTCTAGGAATTATACACCATCGAGAACCTTCTAGAACATTCTAGAACGTTCTAGAAGCTTCGACGGTTCGTGTCCGTGCTAAGTCGTGGAGGGTCGCTCCCAGAGCCGATGATCCATCGCGGGACGTTTTGAGACAGTCCCTTGCCACCCACCCCGGAGAGTCTTCTGGAAGCTTCGACGGACCCCCCGCACAGTTTTCGGACGGCAGCCCTCAGCCTGCTTGATGTTGAACGTACCCCCATATCGCAGAATTGCGCATCGCTGATGCAGTCCTGCAGTAGGAAGTTTTCTTCCCCTAACCTTGAACCTTATCGCGCAGATTAGTGCGTAGCATCGCTGAATCAGAGAGAGAGCAGAGTAGAGTAGAGGTATGGTTTATTCGATCTTGGAGCATGGCTCCCTAAGGATCGCAGACAAGAATTACATTACTGTCAAAGTTCAGTGAGTAAGCCAAAAAATATACAATAAGAAAAATACATAAGCAACTAATCATGAAAGCACAATAATCACCGCTAAGCGAGGAAAAATATGCGCATTAAATAAAATAAGTAACTAATAGTGGCATACAGTAGCGATAGACAATAGTATTAAACATGCAGTAAGAAGTACCTATGTAAATATACATTAAAAGTAGAAATAAAATAAAATAAGTGTTACTTCACCGAGCAAAATAAGCATACTGTGAGGTATTTGATAGTGGCATTACAATGTTGAGAGAAAAATATATATTAATACTAATAAAAAATATATATTAATACTAATCGTTATACAATAACAGATAAGAGTAGCACAGTAAAACTACTAAACTACTACTTTGGATCAATTTCGTACTCCTCCTCAGCCAATAAATGAGAGAAACACTTTTAGCGGAACTCAGCAAGACTCTCAGCTGTGGTGATCTCTGGGGATAAAGAGTTGCAAAAATGAATTCCCGTAACTCGAAAAGACTTCTGAGAAGTTACTGTTCGAGTGGGTGGTGGACGCAGCGTATCCGTTCACGAGAGTTAACGACGCCTTGCAATATTAGGCCTAAGTTTAAGCTGGTCAGCGAAGAGGTTTGGGATACCCAAACATAGAGTTTTATAGAACAGGCAGGCAATGAAAAATAACCATCGATTGCGCATCTTAAGCCACCCAAGATTTCGCCTATGCCGCGAGATGTGTGCTGGCCTGGGCAATCGTAACAAAAATCGAACGCAGTTATTAAGTGATATTTGAAGCTTCCTCTCTAGGCCGTCTGACAAATTTGTGAGGGCAGCATCGCTGTAGTCGAAAATTGGAAAAACCAAAGCAGTAACGAGACGACATTTTAGCGTTAAATTTAAATCATTCCCAGACATGCGTATACGATATAGAGTCCCAGCAGATTTTCTACAGGTTAAGGCAACGTGACCATTTCAAGAAAGTGTGCTATCTAGGGTCACACCAAGGTATCTAAAAGTCGAAACAAGCTCAATCGGCTCACCCTGAAGCAGAAGCTCTGGAAGTACAGAAAGATATGAAACATTAACAAACCTAGCAGAGCCTACTATCATTGCTTTGGTATTAGCAACATTAAGCTGTAATTTGTTAGCGCGGCACCAGCACTCAATTTTTGCAATATCATGATTTATCAAATCTATCGTCTCAGCAAGCCTCTCCGGGAAACATTTAAGATATATGGCCAAGTCATCCGCATACAGAAGATAGAAACAATGTTGCAAACACTGAGGTAAATCATTGATAAATAACGAGAAAAGCAAAGGACCCAGGACACTCCCTTGAGGTACACCAGAGACTTGCGGAAGCCACCCAGAGACGCCACCCTCAGCAACAGGTACCGCTTGTTTGCAGCCGCATAGGTAAGAGCAGAACCATCTAAGAGCAATCTCGGAGAAATTGAAGTTCCGCAATTTACGTAGCAGAGTTCCTTGATGAACCATATCAAAAGCCTTGGTGAAATCCAGGAAGACAACTACAGTGACCATACGATTATCTGTCGCTTCACGAAAATCATCTGTAAGCCCCAGTACAGCATCCTGAGTCCCCATACCTTTTCGAAAACCCGTTCGATGCGGATCCAAGAAATTCATATCCATGAGAAATTGTGTTATTTGATTATAGACGATTCTCTCCAGAACTTTAAAAATAGCACAGAGTAGCGAAATAGGACGATAATGAATATAGTCTGTCGGACAACGAACCTTAGGCAGCGGAGTAATAAAAGATGACTTCCACAGAGTCGGAAACTCACCTCCGCTTAACGATAAATTAAATAGCATGACAATAAATGGTAATAACAGCGATTTAATAACCTTATAAGCCTGAATAGGTAGTCCATCTGGGCCAGATGCACGCGTAACAATTCTAGTCATTGCATCACCCACAGACTTAGAATCTACCTGCGAGAAGTTGAACTGTCTAGCATCAGCTCCATAATCCACTAACGGTATAGTATCATTGGTTATTGTGTCCCCTGAAGTTACAGCCACAAATTGTTCGTTAAGCTTTTGTAGAGAAAGATTAGCAGGCAGTACATGATTCGCGGTATTGGTTAATCCTAGTCTATTGATCTCTTTCCAACAGAGCCGCGAATTCCCTGCCAAGTCAAAACGAGTTTGAAGGTACTCAGATTTTGCAGCGAGCCACATAGTCTTAACTTCTCTCCGCAGCACAACATATGTGGCATGCACATATGTAGCAAGCGCGACCGCTTAGACGCCCTAAAACAGGCATCCCTCTGTCTCATTCTTTCTTTAAGCTCAGGGGTAAGCCAGGGTGCCGGCATGTGCTTAACTACTACTTCAAGCATTGGAGAAGCGCGATCTAACGCATCATTCATAAGCGAATTGAAGACTGCAAGCTGATCATCACTCGTTGGCTGGTCAGATAGCATAGAAACATCAAACCAGGATAAGACCTCCGCTGCAGCTTCTTGGTCAGCATCTCCCCAAGGACGATAACAGATGACACGTGGCTGTCCACGAGGAAACCCATACTGGATAGAGGTGTAAATAAAATCGTGGCCAGACAGAAAAGGCTGCGCTGATTGTCCCCAAGCATCCAGATAAGAGAAATCACTAACGGCACATATATCAAGCCAAGTGTGCGATGTTGCCGTGTGGTGAGTAGGCTGCAACGGGACAATGCTAAGTCCTTGTGTGGTTAAAAAATCCTTAAGGTGAGCAGAGACATATGTATCAGACAGCAAATCAGCATTCAAATCCCCGAAGAGGCAAGAAAACTTATACTGCGGTATAAGTGCTGCAAACTCATTCTCGAAACAGCTGAGGAAGCCAATCTTTGGCGGTCTATAGACAACAGCTATTAGGATTTTCGAGCGACCAGAATTCCACACTTTTGCTATAAGAAACTCAGGAATTCCGTCCCTTTGCAGCGAAGATGACGAGGCCACAATCTTCCCACTTACTCCATCACGTAGGTATAAGGCAACGCCCCCACCATGTCTGTCTGAGGTTACTCCCTGGTTACTGCAATGAGGTGGTAAGGATTACGTCTCATGAACTCCTGAAATTCGTCAAAATGCGCTGGTAGAGGCTGAGCATTTAGGCAGTATGCGTTGATAATCGGAGAAATTGATGGAACAGGTGATGAACGAGCAGAGTTGACCATTCCAAAAAGTCACAAAGACAGTTGCGACAGATCCATAGAGGACAACACTTTCACAGGCCGCGATTCAGCATCACGACTTACAAAAACAGCCGCATCCGCAATCCAGATAAACCTTGGCTGTATGGACGGGAATCTCTTGAGTATGCGATATCGCAGTTGACGTAACTGTAGTGGCTGGCGTCTGTTGATATAGATCTTATTGTCCAGCAAAGATGCATCAATGTTAGGAGCCCTGAGGGTGGGTAGTAACTTCTTCGCTTCAATAATCTGGTCACACTTTTCTTTGGACACTATTTGAAGCAGAATAGTCCGCTCATTGGTGCCTTGTTGTAATCCAGCAGCAGAGGTTCTCTTCCGTCCCTTGTTACTTCCCATGCGCTCTGCCTTAACTATTTCGGATAGTGACAAATTTATATTCAGAGCAGCAGCTAGGGCAGGTACAAAATCTACCTTCAAGTCTTCATTTCCTCCAGAGAATTTGGCTATTCCGGAGATCACAAGTTGTGTTGCCATATCGTTACAGGCAACACGCAATAATAAGGCTTCGTCCGCACGCGAGAGACCTCCGGAGGATCCAGCAGTAATTTTATCCTCCACCTTTTTTATTCTCTCCAACTGAGCCGCAGTCTCTTTAACAAGGACATTTACATCGTTCCTAACCTCTGCAACAGAGCCTTTAACTAGTAGCATATCCCTTTTGAAGTGTTTGTTATCAGACAGTAATGTGTCAAATTTATTATGCAAGCTTTCCCCATCAGCCGCAAGCGAGTTCACCTTAGTGACCGTGTCATCTAGTTTACCTAGCCTGTCATTAATCGACTTTAAAATATCAAAGTGTACGTCTTCGCGCCGACACACAGGGCAAGTACCACATACCGCGCTAGCGGCATCCTTGGAAGATTGCAATACAAGCCTCGTCTTAACACACCAAACGTAAAAGGTATATCAAACGTAAAAGGCCACATGTAGCCGTAGAGGAAACTTCATTGCTAACTCTGTCTACATTTGCAAAACACAAGGCGCACAGCGGCCTTGACATGGCGATAATATTGACTGTTTATTCTTTATTGAAGCACCGCAGGAGGTCAGATTACGCACTAAGTTAAAAGGCGCACCGACAACACAGGATTAAAGTCTTAAAGTCACCACACACAACAAAGACGCACTAGTAATAATAGGATTAAAATACCAGCGTCGCAAACAGAAGCAGTATAGGTAATAGGTTAAAAGTCACTAGCTGTCAATTAAGATTTAAAAGTCACTGTGCCAAAACAAATCTGTAATAGGAGGACGCGCAACTAATACACTTCAGAGTCTATGCCCAATGTCACCAAAATAGATTCTACTAAAGCACAGTAATTTGATAAAATTAGTTAAAAAGGATTATAGTCTTAGCTTAGCCTTATTGCGCAGTGTAAGCCTAATGTACTACAGAGTCAGTATGCACACTCACTGATGAACGCAAAATGAACTAAATGCAGATATTAGCAAAATGTATGACAGTTCGTGTAACAACGACCGCACCAGCCCTCTTCGCGTGCGCGCGAGAGCGAGAGAGAGATAGATAGATTGATTGATTGATTGATATTTATTAGCCTCCTCGCCTATTTTTGTACATAAATTACATTAATCGAGTACATAACATTTACTTAACTAACGATATAACATAATCTTTAAACATTCTTTTAAATTGTTCTATTCTCTCTCACTTTTTAACTTCATTTGGTAAGGCGTTATACACTTGTACTCCTTCGTAATATATACTCTTTTGTGCGTTTCTTGTTCTCCTAAATTGTATAACTATATTTCCAGCTCGTCGTGTTTCTCTACCCCCCCTCATTCCTATTATTTGTAGCCTATTCTTTAATTCCTTTGGTAGTAAATTATTGACAGCTTTAAAGATGAATACACATACATTATAATAAAGTCTTCGCCTTATGGACATAAACTGTACCGCTGTCAGCATATCATCCACTTTTGTGTAGCGGCTGCATTGCAGTATGACCCGCATCGCTCTATTCTGCGCGATCTGCAGTTTATTTACTTCGGTTTCACCCATACACATTAGCAGTGTTCCACAATATTCGAAGTGTGGTGCTATGATTATTTTATATATAATACATCTGGTAAACGCCGATACGCAGTGCCCTATTCTGTTTAGGAAACTCGTTTTTTTACCTATTTTTTTCAATATATATTTACAATGGTCTTTAAATTGTAACTTGTCATCAATAATAATACCTAAGTATTTCATCGTTTCCACTCGTTCGAGTTCCGTTCCGTCCAAACACTTAAGTACAATATTTCCTTTTGTTTCTATTCATCCACTTTTCTACTATATTTAATAGCATATTCATT